CCAGATTTTGGGGGTCTCTCCCCCCTCCAGGGGACGTGGCCGGGGGCTGCAAATTGCTGCGGAACCGCTTCGAGAGCCGGGACCGGGAATGGGCCTCCTACACCTGCGTGCTGGGCTTCCACGTCTTCGGTGGGTCTGGGGGCTCGGGGGGTCTCAGGGGGGGTTTGGGGGGGTTCCCCATCTCCCCAAGTGGTTCAGGGGGTGCTGTCAGGAGTATTTGGGTTTCTTTTAGGGTCCCCCAGCTCTCCGAACCCTCGGGGTGGTTCTGGCAGAGTATTTGGGGTTGTTTTGGGGTGATCCCCAGTTCCCCGAGAGCTTTGGGTGTTTCTGACAGGGTATTTGGGGTTTTTTTGGAGTCCCCCAGCTCCCTGAGAGCTTCAGAAGGTTCTAATGGTTTTTTTTTTTTTGGGGTCCCCCAGTTCCCTGAGCCCTTTGGGTACTTCTAACGGGATATTTGGGGGGTTTTTTTTGGGTTGCCCAGCTCCCCAAGCCCTTGTGGTGTTTCTAGCGGGGTATTTGTGGATGTTTTTGGGGTCCCCAGCTCCCCGAGAGCTTTGCGTGTTTCTAGAGGGGTATTTGGGGGTTTTTGGGGTCCCCCTGACCCCCGACATCGGCGCAGGGGTGTGGCCGGACGGCTCGGACGGCACCGACATCAACTCGCTGTGCCGCTCGCACCACGAGCGCGTGGTGGCCGTGGCCGACGACTTCTGCAAGGTTCACCTGTTCCAGTACCCCTGTGCCCGGGCCAAGGTGGGCACCGGGCTCTGGGGGGGTTTCGGGGGGGCTGGGGAAGGGTCCCAGAGTCCAGTTTGGGGGTCCCAGACCCCAGTTTGGGGGGTCAGGAGGGTCCAGACTCACTGCCGGTGGGTTGGCGATCCCAACCCCTGGACTGGCTGTTCTGGGGGGATTGGGGGGGGGGTCCAAATCCCAGATTTTTGGGCTCGGGAGAGTCCCAGACCCCAATTTGAGAGGCTGGGGGGGGTCCAGACCACAAATTTTTGGGCTCAGGAAGGTCCCATACCCCAAATTTGGGGGCTCCAAACCCACTGGGTGTTTTGGGGGGTCCCACACCCCAATTTAGGGGTATGGGGGGGGGGTCCAGACCCCAATTTGAGGGGTTGTGGGGGTGGTTCCAGACCCCAAATTTTTGGGCTCGGGAGGGTCCCAGACCCCAATTTGAGGGGATGAGGGGATCGGGGTGAGGGGTGGGGGTCCCACACCCCAATTTAGGGGTATGGGGGGGGTCCAGACCCCAATGTGAGGGGTCGTGGGGTGGTTCCAGACCCCAAATTTTTGGGCTCGGGAGGGTCCCAGACCCCAATTTGAGGGGATCGGGGTGGGGGGTCCCACACCCCAATTTAGGGGTATGGGGGGGGGTCCAGACCCCAATTTGAGGGGTCGTGGGGTGGTTCCAGACCCCAAATTTTTGGGCTCGGGAGGGTCCCAGACCCCAGTTTGAGGGGATCGGGGTGGGGGGTCCCACACCCCAATTTAGGGGTATGGGGGGGGGGGTCAGACCCCAATTTCGGGGGTCCCCCCCCGTTGGGGGGGGGGGGGGGGGGGCTGTATCCACGTGACCCCGCAGTCACGTGTCGCCCCCTCCCTCACAGGCTCCCAGTCACGTGTACGGCGGGCACGGCAGCCACGTGACCAACGTGCGCTTCACGCACGACGACGGACACCTGGTGTCGCTGGGCGGGAAGGACACCAGCGTCTTCCAGTGGCGGGTGCTGCCCGGGGACAGCGCCTGAGCCCCGCGCCTTCCTCCTCCTCCTCCTCCTCGCTGCTTCCTCTTCCCCCTTTCCCCCCTTCCTGGGACCAAAGAGCGGCTCGGGGTTTGGTGGAAAGCTTTCCCCCCCCGCCGCGTTTTCGCGCTGCACTGTGAGAGGCGTCAATAAAAGCCTTGGGGTCAGGGTAGGACCCCGCCGTTTCCTCCGGGATCGCCGCCGCTTCCCGGAAGCGCCGCGGGTTCTTCCTCCGTGCCCGCCCTCGGCGCCTTTCCGGTTCTGGCGGAACTCGCCGAGCGCGTTACGGAAAGAGCCGAGGTTGAGGCGAGGAGTGCCGGAGAGAGCCGAGGCCAAGCCGAGGCTTTCCCGAAAAGCGCCGAGGTCTCTCCGGAAGCGCCCGAGGCGGCGCCGAACCCGTGCCGGAGGTGCCCGAACGCATCCGGCAATACCCGAGTCTCTCCGGAGTTGCCCAAACCCTCTCCGGAGGTGCCCGAGAGGTCTTGCCGGAGGTTGCCGAACGTCTCCGGAGGTGCCCGAAGGGCTCCGAACCGGCCGTGCCGGCGCGGAGGCGGCGGGAGCGGCGATGAAGCGCGGCCGGGGCCGGGCCCGGGGGTAGCGCGGCCGAGCGAGCGGCCATGGCGGCCAACATGTACCGCGTCGGCGGTGAGCGGGCCGGGGGCCGCGGGCAGGGACCTCCAGGAGGGGCTCTGGGGGGGCCCTGAGGGGATTTGGGGGTCCCGG